CTAGCAAACCCTGACTAATACATTGAGTGGAGTATTTCGAGGGAGACCTAGCTTGGCATTACCCTTGTGCCAATGGGACTTCTTAGTCCATGTCAGCATTTAGGTATCTGTACTGGCCTGCCCTTAGCGTCCTGACAGGAGAGATCCTCAGTGGCAGCCACGAAGAGCACCCATTGTGGACATTTGCTATGTTTCCTTATAAAAGGCAGGCCTTGCCCACCTTCTGTCTCTTTCTCTTCCTTCTCTCTCCTCCTAAGGAACCAATCTCTGCCTCCTTAACTCCCCTCTCCTCAATAAATCTCCCACGTGGGCCCTCTTGTACTGTGTGACTCCTTTCCGCCATTTTTAAAATACAACAATTGATAAGAAGGGATTGCTGTAGCTCTGACAGGTCATGCAGGCTGAAAACTTAGGGATATGCTGCCCAAGGCTTTCCATAGTCTGTGAAAACTCCACTGGTGAGGAGGACTTGTCATGGCCCTGACGAATCACATCCCTGTGAGTACAAATATTAAATGCCAATAGGGACAATACAGCCTAATCATAGTTAACACTCCCTTAAACTATTCAGAAAAAAAAAATGCCAATAATGGGTTGGAAATGAAGTTCAGTTGGTACAGTGTTTATCTAGCATGGACAAAGTCCCAAGTTCTATCCCCAACATTGCATAAAACTAGGCATAGTAGCACACAAGAAGTAGAGGTAGGAGGACCAGAAGGTCAAGGCCTTTCTCTAACCAAAAATTCAAACAAAACACAACAACAATAAAACAAAAACAGAGGCAGGCAGAGACAATATTCTAGCCAGTAATATAGGTATCCTCCCTGGATTAAAACATTCCCTTCTGAAGGGAAAACTCCTAAGACTCAGGAAAGACTCATAAGATCACTAAAGTTCCACTCAGGAACCTGAACTTAAAGGACTGAAAGCTGTAACTCAGAAGGCAGTGAAAACTACTGGGGAGAAGAAATTCAGAGCAGCATCCAGGCAGGTAGGGCATTATAAGGATATAGCTTTTGTAAGTTATCACCTGTTTGGTAGTATTTTTTTCTTTGAGTCAACTATGCTCCTATACACAGTTCCAAGATGAGTTCTTTGGTCTGCCATCAGTGCCCTGTCTGGGAGAAAAGACATGTATGGGCCTCTCCTTAGGAAGACTGTGTAACATCTCGCAGCTACACCTCCCACACAGAGGAACTTGTCATCCCCATCATATCCTTCAATACTATGATGATTTATCTCTCACTTTTCTTTATTTATTTTAAATTTTATTATTATTTGGCTTACACATGCCAGACAAATGCTCTCTCTACCACTAATATATCCCCATCTCTAATTTTGAGTTTTCCGTTTTCTTTTTTTCAAGACAGAGTCTCACTGTGTAGCTCTGGTTGTGCTAGAAGTCATAGATGTCTTCCTGCCTCTGCCTAAATGCAGGGATTAAAGATGTGTGCCACGATACCCAGCCCAGTTATAACTTTTTAAACATTTCAACAGAAAAAATGTTTTTCTCTATAATATTCCTCCACTTTATTTCCCTTTTTACTTCATTTTTCTTCTTCCTCTTCCCCTTTACCTCTTTTTATCATACTTTTTCTTCCTTTTAAAATTGTATTTACTGATTGATTAAAGTGCCAGGAATAGGATTCAGGGCCTTGTATAAGCTAGACAAGGAATCTACCACTGAGCTATACTTTCATTTCTTCTTTTATAAAAAAAAATTATTCTTACATTCATTATAACAACTAGGTTATTCTGTATTAATTCTGCACCCTTTTCTGTTATATGATGCTGGTTTCGACTTTGTTTCTTTATTTCATTTGCTTATGTTTTCACTTATTTGTTTTTCGGTTTTTCTTTATTTCTGACTGACTTTGTTTTTGTTGTCCTTGTTCTCTTCTTCTGTAGGGCAACCAAACCTGGCGTCTCAAGTGTGCTGAGTGTGTGCCTTGTCACTGCCTACATTTCCATCCAGCTGAGAGAAACTGTGCCTTATTCTAGCCAGGGCCTCACTACACTCAAACTTTGGGATGCTGAAACTGAAAGAAGAGGGGAGGTAAAAGCCCCCAGCTGACAAACTGGACTCAACTGGGCAAAATTGATGTTCTGTTCTTGTATATTCACCCTGTAACAACTGCAGGGAGAAACAGCATCAGTGTTGTGGACCCCACACTTAGGAGAAACTTGACCTTTCAGATTCTCTCAGCCCTTAAAGGAGTGGGTTTTATGAAAATGAATGAATGCCAAGAATATACAAATAAATAGCTGAATGAATTTAGAAATATAGGACATGAGTGAGACACTCAATAAAGAGAAATAGAGATTTGGAATAAGATGAAACAGAAATCTTGGAAATAAAAAACTCAACAGATGAGATTAAAACACACACACAAACACACACACACACACACACACACACACACACACACACACACACACACACACACAGTTCAGAGCGTCCCTCACCAACAGACTAGATGAAACAGAAGAAAAAGCATCAGGCAGGGCTTGAAGTTAAGGCTGATTAGTTATAACCTTCAGACAGTTAATAAAAAAGTAAGAATGAACAGAACATGGCAGATCCCAGAGACTCCATCAAAGGACCAACTAGATGAGGAAGAATACATACAATCATAAAATGTGTGAAAGAAGGGGGGAATCAAATACTGTCAACACAGGAAGCCATAAACCATTCATTTTAACATAATGTTAAATGTAAACAGTTTTAATTCTCCAAGTAGAAGACGCAAAGTGACTACATTTAAACAAAGATTCAACAATGTGCTGCATTCAGGAAGCCTGCCTCACCAGTAAAAGCTGGAAGTGAAGCAATGATAAATAATATTTTAGGCAAGTAGAACCCTAAAGCCAGACAGTGTAGTTACACTCATATCTAATAGGACAGACTTTAAGACAAAATTATAAGAGAAAAAAGAAAGTATCACATATTCATGTAATACTCATCAGAAGACATAATGATTATAGACATATATACATTGAACTTGCAACACCCTTTATAAAACTCTGCTGGACATAAAGCAAGAAACAGACTGAATCAACAATGGTGGAAGACTTTACTCTCATCAGTGACCATTCAGACCAAAAAACAGAACAAGGGGCTGGAGAGATGGCTGGCTCAGCGGTTCAGAGCACTGATTGCTCATCTAGAATACCCAAGTTCAAGTCCCAGCATCCACATAGCAGCTCACAACTGTCTGTAACTCCAATTCCAGGGGACCTGACACCCATGGCAAACCACCAAAGCACATAAAATAAAATAAAAAATAAATAATTTTAAAAAACAAACAACAAAAAAAAAAAAACAAGAGACATCAACTATGTTACACTACAGATAAAAACCAATAAACACCGATAGAATATTCTGTCCCAGCTCCAAGTACATACACTCTTTATTAGCACATGGTTCTTTCCCCAAAACAGTGCATATTTTAGATCATAAAGCAATTCTTAACAATCTTTAAAAACTGAAGTAATTTATTGTATCTTATCAGATTATAATGCAACCAGGCTAAAAATAATAGCAAGAAGAACTACACACAGAGATCATGTAAACACATGGAGCCTGAACAATATATTTGAATGAAAGTAGGCCATTGAAGAAATCAGGAGGAAAATTCTTATAATTAAATGAAAATTGAAACAATGTAAAAGAACCTGTGAGATATAGCAAATGTATTAAAACAGAGTGCTCTCAAATAAATAACATAGTAAGGTGTCTCAAGTAAAATAAACTAAAACCAGTAAAAGAAAGAAGGAAAAAAAAAAGATCAGAGCTGAACTCAATGAAAGAGACACTAAAATAATACAATGGATCAATGAAACAAAGGTTTGGCTTATGGAAAAGATAAAACTAACAAACTTGGCCAAACTAACCAAAGGAAAAAGAGAAGACCCAAATCAGTAAAACTAGGAAGAAATAGGAGCTATTATAACAGATACCACTGAAATCCAGAGGATCATTAAGAAATATTCTGTAGGTCTGGAGAGATGGATCAGCAGTTAAGAGCACTGGCTGCTCTTCCAGAGAACTCTGGTTCAATTCCCAGAACCCATATGGCAGCTCACAAACTGTCTATAACTCCAGTTCCAGGGGACCCAACACCCTCACAGAGACATGCATGCATACAGAACACCAATGCACATAAAATAAAAATTAAAAAATAAATAAAAATATTTCAAAAAAAAAAGAAATAGTCTGCACAGTTATATTCCAATAAAATAGGAAGTCTAGAATAACTGAGACAAATTTCCAGACACATACGACCTTCTTAAATTTAAAGCAAGAAGATGTAACCCACTTAAACAGGCAAGTAGCATGCAATGAGACTAAGCAATAATGAGGTCTCCTAACAGAATAAATCAAGCTGGATGGATTCACTGCAGAGTTTTCCAGACTTTTCAAGACAAATTAATGCCAGTGCTCGTAAAATGATTCCATAGAATAGAAAAGGGAAGGAAAGGTTCCAAACTTACTCCACAAAAATAAAATCCCTTCACAGGACAAAGGACAATTTGTGGGACTTGGTTTTCTACTTCCATCATGTGCTTTGCAAAGATTGAACCTGGACCATCAGGTTTGGTGGCAAGTGCCTTTACCTTCTGAGTTCTCTTGCTGGCCAGTATTCTAGTCCTTTAGGTTAGCAATAGTTAACAGGTTCCCTCCAGAACAGCTCACTGAACAACAGTGAATGTACTTTAGTTTTCTTATTCAGTTAAAACCAGTGCAAACATTTACTTACACATAGAGAAATGGTGTTAGTCTGCAATCTCAGAATGTGGGAAGTAGAGGCAAAAGGATAATAGGTTTTGGGCTAGCCTGGACTACACAGTTGGCCCAACTTTTACAATAACAACAAACACACAAACCAACCATCAAACATCCGCAGGGCAAAGCTTTATCTCAATGATTGTGCTTGCCTGGGCTCTGAATTTGAGCCCATCCAGCTGCTTTTCAAATCAACTTTAGAAAGTTTAATTACCTGTTTTTTCTGTGTTCTGCTCCTGTTTTCCAGCCAATCATCCATTTGCTCCTCTATTTCTTCAATAGAAGTTCCATGATCATAAGACTGAATATATGTATTTTCTAACGGCATATATACAGGAAATTCTGGTTTCGGTTTTTTAACTTTAACTTTCTTCTGTTCTAAAAAGAATATTTAAAAGAACCAGTTGAGATCTGTACACAATTAAAAGAAATGAAAAATATTCTAACATTGTATTCATAGACTAAATCTTTGAAGAACATATAACAATGTTATTTTATCAAGACAGAATTGCTTTGTCGTAAATAGCTACAAGCTCTATTGAGCATTGATAATTATTTAATAACAAGCTCAGATGCTGTCAATGTGATTATGACAGGATCACACTATCTGTTTGTATATACCTTTAGTCTTCAAAGTACCTTTCATTAAAACATTTCATTTAGGACATGGAAAGAGCTTTAATTTAGAGTCTTAATTTTTTAATGATTTATTTTTATTTATGTATATATGTATGTGTCTATGTGAATGTGTGCTACATATATGCCAAGCGTTCACGGAGGCCAGGAGAAGGTGTCAGATGCCCTGAAGCTGGAGTTACAGGCAGCTGGTCAGCCAGCTGGTGACTCATCCAACTTGGGTGCTGGGAATTGAAGCCTGGGTCCTCTGAAAGAGCAGGGAATACTTTTTTTTGTTTTGTTTTGTTTTTTCAAGACAGGGCTTCTCTGTGTAGCTCTGTCTGTCCTGGAATTCATTCTGTAGAACAGGCTGGCCTCGAACTCAGAGATCCGCTTACCTCTGTCTCCCGAGTGCCGGGATTTAAAGGCGAGCGCCACCACCGAGTTCTTAACCATTGAGCCACCTCTGCTACCCTTAGTTTCTTAGTCATAACCTTATTTCATAATAGCTATATACACCATTAATGGTATATATTTGTATTTTCAATATTCTAAAAAGAAAACCTGATCTGGGAGCATCAGTCAAATGTTGCACAAAAATATTTCCAAGGCTAATCATGGTGGCACACACTTTTAAACACATTATTTAGGAGGCAGAGGCAGGCAGTTCTCTGTAAATTCAAGGTCAGCCTGGTTTACATAGTGAGTTCACCAGAGCTACACAGAGACCTGTCTCAAAAAAAAAAAAAAAAAAGATATTTCCAACAATACAAATACTAAGGTGGTTGCAGAGATCAACAAGCAACATCACAGCTATCTCAGTTTGTGTCAGCACACCCTATGATGCTTCTTCAATGATGAAACTGTCTCGCTTGCCTTCAAACAATGCCTGGCTGCAATGGACAGCATTCTTCCCTCTCATCAGTGACAACACTGAGAAGCTGCTCCTTTTCCATCAGCAAACTCCCCTAGCCTCACAATCACATTTTTACTATCCAATATGTGTATGTGCATGTGAATAGTATAATGCTACTGTGAAAAAAAACACATCAAATTTCTAGAAGAAAACAGATAATCCATAAACCTCTCAGAGGGGAAAATGACTTAACAATGGATGCCAACAAAACTAAATATTCATTTGAAAGAAAATTAGACACAATCTGCTAACCATATACAAAATAAAATACAAAAATAAATTCCATCTGGGGAAAAGAAGAGATTTTTTAAAATGGAATTCTAAAAATTAACTTAAAAATCATGTGCTATATAAAGGAAGAGGAAATCTTAACTTAAGTCACAAATGCAAATTCTATAATAAACACAAGGACAGCATAAACACCAAGAGACAACAAATTTGGGAACAGTATCTTCAACTCAGAGGACAAACAGAAAATTGATAAAGAGATTACAGAAAGTGATTAATTTTATAAATAAGATGGGCAACCCAACAGAAAAGTTAGTAAAGGTCATGACTAGGCAATCCAAATAAATAAATCCACAAGGCCACAAAACAAGAAAAGAAACCTATTTTGGGGGACACCAGATCTCCCTGGGAAGGGGGGAACAGAAGAGATTTCATGAGTGGACTGAGGACAGGTGAGGAGGGGAACATGAGAGATCAGGTTGGGGTGGGGACAAAGCGGGGAGAGTACTGAAAGAGACTACTGGAAAGGGGGGTATTTCGGGGTCAGGTAAAAACCTAATGCAAGGGCATCTCCCAGGAATCTACAAGAAGACTTAGACTCCTAGCAATAGCAGATACATAGCCTGAACTGGCCATCTCCTATGACCAGATTGGTGCCTAGCCCAACTGTAATTCAGAGGCTTCATCCAGCAACTGATAGAAACAGATCCAGACCTACAACCAAACATTAGGAATATTTTCGGAAATCCTGTAGAAGAGGAGGAGAAAAGATTGTAAGAGCCAGTGGGGTCGAGGACACCACAAGAAAACTCACAGAATCAACTAACCTGGGCTCATCACAGCTTATAGAGCCTGAATCGACAACCAGGGAGCTTGCATGGGACTTATGTAGGCACTCTACACATATGTTATAGTTGTGTAGCTTGGTCCTCTTGTGGGACTCCTGACAGTGGGAAAAGGGGCTGTCTCTGACTCTTTTACTGGCTTTTAAGACTCTACTCCTCACATTTGTTGCCCTGCCCAGCCTTAATACATGGGAAGGTGCTTAGTCTTACTGCAACTTGATATGCCATGTTTTGTTGATACTGATGGGAGACATGCCCTTTCCTAAACAGAAATGGAGGAGGCGTGGATTGAGGTTGGGAACAGAAAGAGGATTGGGGGGAAGGCCCTGGGGAGATGGAGGGAGGGGATACTGTGGCCGGGATATAAAATAAATACATTTATTTTTTTTAAAAAAATGGGGGGGGGGGGGGAAGAAGCCTACATTCTCAGGTTAAAGAAATGAAAATTCAAATAATATCATGTGTGATTTAAAAACTAATATGAGAGTACAAATTAAAAAACTAATAGGATATACTTCTGGCAGGAGAAGGGCTCTCTCTAAATCAGGAATTATTCTATTATAATCTTGTGGGAAAGTAGTCTAAGAAGATCTATTAAAATTAAATATATAAACCTTTTATGAGCATAAAAGAATTTGAATATAAGTGCATGTATCCATATAAATATGTACATGCTTATATGTGTATGTGTGAGACAATTTACTGTTTATAGAGATAAGAGTTAACAGTAAATGCCTCGTAAGAGAGATGACTACATAATTACTGATGACTCATCTATATGGAGAAATAATAAATCATCACTGAAGCAGAGCTACAGTAATAATTTCATGGGTATTTCAATGAATTTAAGTAGCAAAAGAAAGATCAGAAAAGGATGATTCCATATTTTAAAGCAAAATCATGCTTCTATATATCCTTATGTTTATACAAGTCTACACACACATATCTAATTATTATATGAGAGTGGATATTCTATAATATGGATGACTATAGGAAGGCATGGAGGGGATGAGATGAAGGAGAGAGGGAGTGCAGTGAAAACCAATGAAGAGAAGCAACATCACAGGAAAAACAAGTACATACATGTGAAGGTATGTTGACATATCTTATGAGAAAACTACAGAAGTAATGGACAAGACTTTACAACATTAATCTATTTGTAAATTCAGGCTTCTAAAGCCAATAAACAATAGCTTAGTAAATATTCATTAAATTCTGTGCTTTTAAAATAATTTGAGTTTGCACCATCCAACATTTTGCACTTGGCAAAATCTAATAAATGAAAAAGTATGTATTTTCAAAACTAAATGTCTAGAAAATATGCCTAAATGACCCAAAGATTCCTATTTGCCAAGTACTCTCAATATCTCTCCATAATTGTGATTCAATAAAACCTACAAAGTTAGTATAGGTACATGCACAAGAATTTTAGAGGTAATAGCATCAATTATACTTCACTCAATCTAAGATTTTTCTTTTTACCAGTATTGTGAGGTTTATTGAGAAAAATTGTGAGTTAATATAAAAACATATAGTATCTTGATGCTGCTTTGTGAATCTTACTGAAGTTTTCATTAAATTATGATTGTAAGGCTACAGAGATGTCTCAGCAGTTAAGAGCAACTACTGCTCTCTTAAAGGACCTGAGTTTGATTCCCAGAACCATGTGGTAGTTCAAGACTGCTTGTAACTGCAGCTCTAGGGGCAATCGAACACTTCTGGCCTCTATGGGCACCTGTACTCACATATGACAAATATACATATACACTATTAAAAATAATAAAATATTTAAGAATTATCTCAAGATTTGCAGGCTACCAAAAGAGAAACATGGACACCAACCCAGCCACAAAACTTTTCAACTACAATCTGTCCAGCCTGAAAAATATGCTAGAGCAATGGTGGTACAGAACTTGTGGGAGTAGCCAACCATTGTCTGATTTGACTTAAGGCTCACTCCACTAGAAGGAACCCAGACCCGACACTGCTTGGGTAACCAAGAACCAGAGACTAGATAGTCCCAAGACACAGGGTAAAACCAAACACAACTGGTCATAAAACAACGATAATAACAAAACCCACAAATATGAATAAAATAATTCCTAATAATATCTGCTATCATCAGAGAGGCTTCCTCTAGCAGATGGGAACAAATACAGAGACCCACAGCCAGACATTGTGAGGAGAGTCTAAATGGGAGTTCCCCATGAATTCCTTCCCCTCAGAGCTCATGGGATCCCAAGGAAGATGAGGCAGAAAGACACAAGCCTGAGGGGATAGAGGACACCAGGAGAACACTTCTGAATCAAATAAGCAAGGCACATATGAGCTCACAGAGATTGAAGCAAGGCCTACATGGGTCTGCACGAGGCCCTTTGCATATATATTGTAGCTATTAGCTTAGTATTTTTATGGGACTCCTGACTGTTAGAAAGAGTAGGTCTCTCACTCTTGGCATGATCTTGGGAATCTTTTCCTTTTGTTGAATTGCCCTGTCCAACTTTGATATGAAAGTTTTTGCTGTGTGTTGTTATATTTTATTATATCAGGTTTGGTTGTTATTTCTTAGAAGCCTGTTCTTTTCTAAACTACACATGCAGAAAAATGGTAATGAAGTTGACAAAATTAAAGATTCCTGGAAGCCGGGTGTGGTGGCACACACCTTTAATTCTAGTACTCTGGGGCAGAGGCAGACAGATCTCTGTGAGTTCAAGGCCATCCTGGTCTACAGAGTGAGATCCAGGATAGCCAGGGATACACAGGGAAAACCTGTCTGGAAAAACCATACCAACCAACCAACCAAACAAACAAACAAACAAACAAAAGGATTCCTTGTATGTAACCTTTAAACTATATTTTAAAATACACAACAGTTTCTGACTCTGCTAACAGTGAGTACAATTGCTCTTTACTATTCTTAACACTGATACTCTCACCTTTTCCAATATACCACTGATTTGAGAACACAAGATGGTTTTATAACACAAGCCTCCTATGAGCAATGGGCTAGTGATGGATTGCTATGAGTTTTACAAGGCTGTTTATTACATATCTTGACTAAAAAAGACAGACATTCCAGATGCTTGTCTATTTAAAATTTTGTATTTATTTTAGATTTTTTATTAAGTAACAAAAGAAAAAAGAATTTTTAAACCTGAGAATTTTAACAGAACAGAATTTTTAAAAAATCTTTAAACAAATTTTGAAAAATGGCTACAAACCTCCAATGTAGATTTCACATTGTGATAAACATTTCATGTTTAACTACAATTTTCATAAGGGCAGTATACATTCTTAATCTGCTATTATCAGATAATTCTAATATATACTCTAAAATTTTACCAGTAAGTTGATTTGTTATAAAAATTAGATAAAAATGATAAGCTAAGTAGAAAGCAGTGAAATGTAGTGAATTCCTATTGTTTTAATAGGTAAATGGGGGTACTTTTAAGATTTTCCTATAGATTCATTTTCCTTCTGACTCACTTAAAAGGCTTAAAAAGAGTAACTTTAAAAGTAACAATTTTATGAAAATTACATTTAAAGTTTCATTTGCCTACTTTTACTGCCCAACACAGTTAGCAACCTTCCTTCACAATCTTCTATCATCTCAATTCTTCTTATAGGCATCTACTTCAGATAATTGTACAGATTTAAGTATCATTTTGTAGTTGTTAGAGTATTTTAATTGAATTACATGCTCCTTGAGACAGGGCACTGTACAGAGAGCAGCTCGGCTGGCATTCACTACTATTCATAGAATTACATACATTCCTCTGTTTATCCACTCACCATTTACGTACTGAGCACTTACTGTGTGCCAGGACACTGTTCACTGCTGCACACACAAAGTGAAAAAGAAACAATTCCTCTTCTAAAGCTGCCCAGACACAAGAACAATTGTGACAGAAAAACTTCCCCTAAAAATACCTGTCTTGAAGACACAACAGTGAACAAAATAAAGTCCTAACTTTCATAGGGTTTCTATCTACTGGGAGAAAGTAGATATAAACAAAATCAATACATTCTGCTGAGCGGTAGTAACTGTTGTGAATAAAATAACCAGTATGTGCAGACAGTGTACATGTAGGACAGATGGACATAAAGTCAAGAAACATCTCTGTGTTCCATGGAACATTCCTGTATTTTCTTTCTTGTATTTTAAAAATTTAAAACCTTATTTATTTTTATTTTATGCATATAGGTCCTTTTCTTGCATGTACAGCTGTGCACCACTTGTGTGCATGGTACCCACGAATGCCAGAACAGGACATCAGATTCAGACTCCCTGGAAAGGAGGTTACAGATGACTCTGAGCTGCCATGTGGTGCTGGGAATAGAACCGGGGTCCACTGTCAGGTCAGCCAGTGCTCATAGCCTGAGCCATGTCTCCAGATGTTTCTATTTCTTTGAGGTAGGATCTTGCTGTGAAGCTTTGGCTGGCCTGGTACTCAACATGTGGTCCATGGCCTTCAAGAAGTATGCCTTCTGTCTCAACTTTCCAGGTTCTGGGGTTACAGGTGGGAGTCCCCATGATTGACTTCTTTCCAATATTCTGATAACTTATTTAAGGTTGTTTGTATTACATAACAATATTACAAAAGAAGCAAAGGCTTTCAAAACAAAAATAAATTTTTTCCAGGTTTACTTACAGCTATAGCACTATATTAACATATAGTAGTTGGTTATTCATGGTATTAAATACTAATTATAATCTTAGTACCAAAAGATAATTGGTTTCTGCAGATTTTGAATGATCCCAACTTGAAGAGCTGTATGACCCCAGGTTGATTTTTCTTTCCTAATACTGGACTTTGTATGGCTCAACAGCAGTATTTTCCATGTGTAATACAGTAATACAAGTGACTCAATTGGAAAATGGCAAAGAAAACACAGAAAATTCAACTAGTGTTAAATTTAAAGGAAAATTTGAATTTAGTTTAGTTTTATATGACATTATTAATAAAGTAAACAATATTTAAAACTTACTTTGAAGTGTTTCAATTTCAATTCTAGCCAGCGCGTCTTCTTTTTCTTTCAATTTTGTCTCCTTATATTTTGCATAAAACTGCCCAGCATCCTAAAAAAAGAAGGTACAAGTATATTAACATAAAAATAACTTTGTTTTGACAGTATCCTCCCTGTAACTTCCCCTTAGAACAATGCACTCATTTTCCATGTAGTTTTCCTTCTGCTTTCCAATGACATGATGAACAGAAGAAACGGAACAAACACTTCTCTGTAATGTTTTTTGCATGGTGAAATTTCAAGTAAACTTTTCACAGATGAAAAGGAGGATTTCCCTTCCAATTCTCTTCTACTGTTTGATGTCTCCCCAATGCCATACTATTGTACAGGCGGCAGCAGCAAAGCCTACTGACTGAACCTAGTTATCTGCTGTGGACCAACAAGGTACTAGTGCCATTTCTGTGTTACTGTCTTAGTTCCAGATCCTCAACACGACTGAGGATGAGCAATTCATCTCTGACTGAGAGCTGTCACTCTTCCTCCCTATCACTCTCGGAGAAGACTAACAGCTGTCACAGAAAACTGAAGACACAAACTCCATAGACACTCTAAAGTTGCAATGAGTGGCACACAAGTGCTCAGCAAGGTTCTGATAAAAGGCTAGGTGTCACATAATCACAGAGATGGACAGAAATTGGTTGATTCTCTAGGCATATGACACTCCTAACGACGAAAATCAGCAAAGCAGATCTTCCCACACTCTTTGATGAAGTCTCATACATTTCAGAAATACCAGGCCCACACTGTGTTTCCATACTTCTGTATTTGGTTTGCCTCAGGTTGGACTATTTTGATCCCTGCCATTATTTTGTCAATCTCCTTTTCATACTTGGAAACTGTGTTCAAACAGCATTGCCTTTACCTTCTCCAGCAGAGCAAGTCCCTATACTTAAACACTCACATGCTTGTATCATGTCATAGTATCATCTAGAAGATGGGACATTTAAGACAGAACTAAGATCTGGCACTCTGTGTTTACTGAACTGAATCAAATTGGAATACATATGAAATCTTATAAAGAAGGAAATGGAAATGCACGATTTGACTGATGAAGAATAAGGAAAGAAGTAGGTATCAAGGATAAGTTTAAGGTGATATTACTGTATTGTAAGATTCCTAGAGAAGATAAATCACAGATCTATCTGTGATTACGTCTATAGAAAACAAAAGAACACTACTACCTAGATCAAATGCAGATACACGAATTATCCCACCTCATTTCCTTCATAATTGTAAGCAAATCAAAGGTATCTCATGGGGTCTGTTTCTTGGGATTATACTAGAACTACCAGATAATGAATTAGGGAAATTATATAGAGAGACTTCCTAAAACATTTGAATACATAGTGAAAATATTTCTTTTTATTCTTTCAGTCAGACTTTTGTGTTCCTAATTTCTAGTACAATCATTCTACAAACCATGGGTCAGTCACACAAATGTATACTCAAAACAGCATAGATAGTAATTCACCCAAGTACTCACCCTCCCATACCGATATCTCTCTCTCTCTCTCTCTCTCTCTCTCTCTCTCTCTCTCTCTATCTATCTATCTATCTATCTATAAATTATACCTACATTTCCTCAAGGTCTGGGCTAAGGTTTTATGGCCCCTTAACATTTTCCACCCCACTCCCTTAAAAAACCTCAACCCTAAAGGAGTATTACTTTGTAGCAAGTCATATCAGTCATTTATACCTTGGTGTGAATGAATGAATGAGCTTATTAGCTTCTTTCCACAGAGTAGGTTTTAATAGTAGGGAAGAAGAAAAGGCCAGGAAGGCATTGGCTCCTTGAGGGGAGTAGGAAATGTGGCACCATGCAAAAAAAAGAAGGGCACAGATTAGTTATTTATGAGTATAGATTGAAATATATCATCATAGTATATAGTACAATGAGATATAGTGTTTATGAGGACAGACTGACTTTTGAGACAAGATCTCACTAGATACCCCAGTAGGCCTTGAACTCATGATTCTCCTACCTTAGCGTCTCACGTGCTGGGTTACAGGTGTAAATCAACACAAGAGAGAAGATTTTGGAGTCTGCCTATCTTTATGAAGAAGTTAGCTCTTTTATTTTACCAGCTAGGAGACATTCAGCGAATTGTTTCTCTACAGGTCAGTTTTCTCATTCATAAATGAGGATAATAAAAGTGTCTAACTCAAAGGTCTGTTACAAAGATTTAACATTTTACTATTTAGGAGACACTTAGGATGCCACCTTTACAGTTGGGTCTTCCATACATTAGCTTTTTTTTTAATGGCTTCTTAATAATTTGCCATCATTGTACTTTCTACTACAAAGTAAGATTGAATTTTATGTTTCACACCTCACCAAAATGCCTCCTGTCAAAGCCTGTACCTTCCTGCTTCTCTTACTTCTCCTTGTCTGCACCCTCCTGACTCAATGAAAAGACCTGTTACTACTGGGCAGTACCAGCCTCTTCTTAGAGGTCCTGCCAACCTTTAACATTTCTCCACTAAGGTTTCCTCTTCCTGCCACAGCAAGTAATTCTACCAAGAATCTGCTCTGAAGTAGTCATGGGAGCCTAAACCATCCCTAGGGTTGTAACGTATCAAATACTTAAAGCTACTCTAGCTAACTCAAGGTTGTTCTGCATTCTCTATTTTATTACCTGCTTGTTCAAGGCAAAGAATGTCATTTTCCATTTGCTCAAGCTTTAAGCATTCATTTAAATGTTCCTGATGTTTTGTCCTTAGCTTACTTGTATTTCAAATTACAGTTATAGTTTGCCTTTTCTAAGAACTATTACTTCCCTAACAAATTTACCATTGTAACTAAACAATTCCGCTATGTTTCAACCATTCTTGTGGATATTACAGTATAACATGCTTAAAAGTACACTACAATCAGGAAGATTCTAAGAGGAGAGTGATCACATGGTGCGGCAGCTTGAAATTCTGTCTTATATAGGACAAGAGATGAGATTAGAGATAACCTGGTAACTACCATAAGCATTTTTAAGGCTCATCAAAGGAAGAATACTATGAATATTGTATAAAGTTCCAGAAATGGAGATTTTAATTTTGAATAAATATAAAAAAATAATTTTCTAATAATAAAAATTAGCTGAAAATAAACTGACTTTGTATGTAGTATTCAAGAACAGAGTGGGTGGTATTCCTTAATATATATTCTTTTTCTTTTTTTTTTTTGGTTTTGTTTTTCGAGACAGGGTTTTTCTGTGTACCTTTGGAGCCTGTCCTGGAACTTGATCTGTAGACCTGGCTGGCCTCGAACTCACAGAGATCCGCCTACCTCTGCCTCTCAAGTGCTGGGATTAAAGGCGTGTGCCACCACTGTCCAGCCCTTAATATATATTCTAAAGAGATTCAAGCATTCAAAAGGGTTTGAAAAGATACACTGTATTTAACACACACACCCCAACCTCCTTGCTAATTCAAGATAATAGAATTGTTTAGTGAAGAAACAAAAAAGTTGAGTCTAAGATAAATTCCAGTTTATTAACACAGGAGGTTAAAGATTTTCTGTTGATATAAACACCCTATCTATTCCCCTAGCCTTTGTAAACTGCCCATGACAATATAGATTAATAAATGTTTCGTAAAAGAACAAACAATTCTTTACTATCTCAAACTGACTAGTTGGGGCTCTTTAGTACTGTATCAAAACTATGGCATTTACATTCTTCCAGAGTCTGTCTTCTTAAGGAGCTTGTAGTTCTCAGGGCTAGAACTTTCAAGAAAAGCTTTTCCTCTAGAAACAATGTTCTTCACATTTAAATGTTCTTCAAGAGTTCAAAATCTGCCTGTATAGTCAGCAAACAAAGGTTTGGTTTTATGTTTAAGAGTGTGGCAAATCTAAAGGATTTACATTATTAGTATTTGTACATGATTATGAAACATGGGCTTCTGAAGAAGAAGCCATTGGGCTATTATATGTGTTTAGATTTACCTCATACACCACTGCTATATGTGTTATGCTTTTAAAGATATGTGAGGATGATTTATGATAAAATAACAGTTTCACTTAAAGAATATGTAAAAATCTACATTAAATTAAATCTTAGACTGCAGAATACATGTTTCATGAAAAAAGGAGTATTTCTTTTCTTTGCTTGGATGGGCTGAAGGTGGAGGTATATCTTTCTGAAATCAGCTGATAGAAAAGATCATGGAAATCTCTGGCTCTTTGTACTTGCCATGGTGAACATGGATGCACAAGCTAGACTCAGAAGGTTTGAGGTAACAGCTAGATGCCATTGAAGGCATCATTGTTCTAATCTGAGTGGCATGTGACCTGAACAATGCTCCATTTCCTAATAGCCAATAGACAAGCGTCTAACCTGCAAAATAACTGCAATCTATTGGAATTTTAGGGTGATCTGTGCCTTACCAAAAATCTATCAGTCTATTATTGTGACAATAAGTTGAGGATCTCTCGTATATAAAAATGTTTGAGACCAGAAGCATTTCAAAGTTCTTATTTTTCCAATGACTACTGCATATTCACATATTTTGTCCAGTTTTGGACTATGTGCACATATATAATGGGACCCAAATCTAAACATAAATTTTTTTATGTCTCACATATACTTTATAGACATAACCAGAAGGTAATTTTACAGACTATTCCTACTTTGCATGAAACAAGGCCAGTGGACACAGAATCATCTGAATCATGCCATCATGTCAGCACTCAAAAAGTCTTAGATTTTGGATTTCAGATTTTTGGATGTGAATGCTCAAATGGTGCTAGTGAGTTGTACAGAGAACATTCATTGGGAACTTTTAGTTAGCCTGACAGAGGTTTCATTATAGAGAAAAATTTAGTAAGATGTAATACTTCTGAGATAGGTAGGTTGTAGTATTGAGAAAGTCCATACATCAATCTTTAACATTACTGACATAGCAATATTAAAATAACACTCTGGCCGAGAGGTGGTGGCACACACCTTTAATCCCAGCACTCAGGAGGCAGAGCCAGAAGGATCTCTGTGAGTTCGAGGCCAGTCTGGTCTACATAGCAAGATCCAGGACAGGCACCAAAACAACACAGAGAAACCCTGT